GCCCAGCCTCTTCCCCGGGGTGCCCAGCCACAGGACAAGAGGCAACGGGCACAAACTGAGACACAGGAAGACCCGTCTGAACATGAGGAAAAACTTCTTTCCTGGGAGGGTGACAGAGCAATGGCACAGGTTGCCCAGAGAGATTGTGGAGCCTCCTTCCCTGGAGATATTCAAAACCCACCTGGACGCGATCCTGGGCAATGTTCTCTAGGTGACCCTACTTGAGCAGGGGGGTTGGACTAGATGATCTCCAGAGGTCCCTTCCAACCTTGGCCATTCTGTGATTCTGTGATCACATAGGTTTATGTTTTCAATTATGTAATGACAGCTATTCAGCAACATGACCTACTTTTGAAAAAGTTGGTATTCAGCTATTATGGATGAAATCATCATGACATGAGAACCTTGCGCTAGGCACTCACATTTGAAAGTGTTGTGCAAAGCGTAACAGGCGGAAAACATTACTTTCCACATAGTCTGGCATTCCTTTAAAAAAAAAGGACAACTTGTTTTCGAAATCAGAGCAAAACAGATAAGCAGTGTGCCAAGGCACATTTTTTCCATAACTTAACAACTGTAATCTTTCAGCTAGAAGCACTATCAAGCCCTGAACTAAAAAAAAAAAAGTCTTTGTTAAAGAGTTAAAGATGCCTATTTTCCTGTAATTTTCCTTCCAATAGCATGCTTGAGCTCACAGTGTAGACTTTCTGTCTCTCTTTTTCCTGACTGCTGGCTTTGATGAAACCCACAGGCACTCACAGTTCCTTCAAAACTATGGTTTTGTTAAATTTGGTTAAGATTGTCCGAAATCTTCAGAAGGTGTTGAATTGCCAGGGAAAAGAGTGGAAGATAAAATCATTTCTTGTGAAAGATAAGAAAAAAAATGGTATCCTGACCAAAAAAAAAAAAAGCTTTTGTATCGAAAGACACAAAGATAATGGGTTCTTTATAAATGAAGCACTCTGACAATTGATGTGCCTTATTTTCTCATTCATTTGTACAGGTAAACATTTGTAGAGCTGAAGTACTTCACAACCTGTCCACAGAGGACAAGTGCAGTACAATTACTTCCCCAAGAGTTACCTACACACAGTGTAATGTGACTGGCGTTTCTCATCACTACCATTACTCACTGCTTGTTAACTGATCTTCTCCAAGGCTAGGTTCAAATTTTTATGCTTAGGTTTCAGTTCAGACTCTCAGAAAGTTTAAAAAAAAAATCTGTTACAATACTGTATAAGCAACATTTGCTAGTATGGATGGCTATACTGTTTCAAACTTTCAAACGGTGAAGTAAAATGTAGCCTTGTGTCTCTCACTGCCTATAGAAAACGTCTTATAAGGACCAACACAATAATTTATACCATTTTAATCAATCAACCACTGAATTGTCACCATCTTCAGCACAGTTACCTACTGTGCTGACCAATTCACCTATGAATTTAAGGAACGAACACACAAATTGCTCAAGGATTTCTTTACCTGTTGATTAGAATCTGTGGAACATCACAACAGACTTGTCTCAAGATACACAAGCAATGCTGTGAAGTTCCAATATTAGAAAAAAACACATGTAATTGAGAAGTCTATAAAAGCATGAGTTACTTGAAACTGCTTTTCCTTCTAATGAACATACATGCACACACACATGTACTTGCCCCCCCAGAAAAAGCCAAAATGTCTGCCAGGGCATCTAAGCTATTTACATAATACTGAAAAACCGTTGGCCAAAACATGCTACAAACTTCAAGCCTGTGACTTACCTTGTATCCGTTGTCCTCCTTTCGGTTATGTGATGCTGTGATCATCACACCAGCAACAGCTTTGAGCTGCTGAACAGCATAGGGCTGAGGGGGGGGAGGGAAATCAAAAAAACGAACAAACAAACAAAAAAGCTACATCAATTTAACCATGAATTTAGCAGCTGGCACAAGTACCATTAAATTATTAGGACAGTTCTGCAACAGGATGCTACAGGAGAGTTGACTCTTAATATTTCACCAGCTTATTTGAAAATTGTATACATGAATGCTTATCATTTTGTTCTCTGTAGAGAGAAATCTTGGTCAGAGTAATGCTATTCTGCTGCATAGGAAAATTATTCTACTTCCCAATTACATAGTTTTAACTGGCCAAGTAAAGAAAGCTTACACTTAGATTACACCGATATTTGAGGAAGAGGGGGGAAAAAAATTGAAACGGAATGAAGGAATTCACCAAAAGGCTTGTTGAAAAACAAACTACAGATACTTCTACCCAAATAACATCTAGTCCTTCCAGTCCTCCCCTAGAAAAGGGATCAACAGCATACACTGCATACTAGAAAAGCTTGCAAAATAGAAAACGAAGATCCAGAACTCTACAAGAAACAGCTTCCATGACTATGGTATCACACTTGTCCTGAGAAATTAAATGCATTTTTAATAAATTTTTAACATTTTTAAGAGAACAGAAAGCTCTATTGCTTGAGATATTAGAAGTGAAAACAGTCCTTTATTTCTTCAACTCTAAGCAGCATTACTGTACAGTCCAAAAACATACACTCCCTACTATGTGTATTTATATACATACAGAAAAATATTCTCTTTGATCCCTAAGACACTTACATGTTTAAGCACAGACTAGAACAACGGCAAAATGCATCACCTATAATGAACAGAGTAAAACCCAGACTGCAGGAAGCATTGCCCCAGTATAGCAACACCTAAGATGAAACATGATTCTGTTGACTACCTGCACAGAGGAGAATTTAGTGATTTTCTTTTTACAGTCTCCTTGAAGAGCCAAGTGTTCCCAACATCCCCTATTCTTCTGTTTAAATGTTGGAATTTGAGAAGAGAATTACTAGTTCACATGCTCAGTAAACTTTCAAATTCTCCCTTAACTACACGGTTCATTAATACAAAAGAGATGATGACGACTCACCACAAAGGGCGTAGGGACATATGTTGAAAAGAAGTACACAGGTACATCTTTAGCCAGGAGGACTGCTGCAGTGAGCTTTGCAAGTCTATCAACAGGAAGAAGAGTTTTATTCAGTCAACCCAACTCCCCACAACAATCCAATACCCATAAGGCATCACTGTAACCTTCATTTCACATCTGCTTCTTCTGTCTAGTGCTTTTTTGCTTACACTAAATGTTGCATCCTAGTTTGTACTGTCAACAGCATACAGTTTTCAGGTTGCAGAACCTGAGAGAGAGTTGTCATTTGTTGCCTGAGGAGTGCAAGGCACTTCAGTCAACCATGTAAATCAGCCAGTGATATCAAAAAAAGATAGAGCCTACTGGTGTAACATCTGTCCTTAATTCAAGAGAGACAGAACCAGGTTTCCCAAAGAGCAAAGCTTGTTCAGCAGTTTCAGACAATTTCCATAAAGCAGACCAATTTCTAAAACATACTTCTGCACACCAGCATGTTCTTATTCCAGTCAATTTAGAAACAGTTACAGCACCTGTGTTTTTAAATCCTGTCCTTAAAACAATCTGCCCCTTTCAAGAAGCAAGGAAACTAATTCTCTTCCATGTAACAGTTTGATAGGAAGCTGTTCTTCTCAAGCCAGATACACACAGCTCAGCAGTTAACTCTGGGAAGTCTTGCTCAGAGAGTCAAAACAGATGAACTATCACACAGGACAAGTTTACTTTGCTCACTTATTTTTTACAGACAAGCATTAATACTTAATTACAGTATACTCATCATGTGAGATAAGGTAACAGTCTAACTTTCAGTTATTCTGCATTTCACTGTAGCGCCTATTAAATGTAACCTGAACCACTTAAGCGTTTAAGAGTTAGGCTTGTAGTTGAAACTACTGGAGCTACTACCTAGCTTGTCTTTCACAATTGGCTTATGCTACCTCAATCATGGAGAACTGCCAGAAGGTCTGCCATCTCCCTCGCACCCAGCCACCTCCCTTAGCACTGGAACTGATGCAAAGAAGGGGCACTAGTGTGCACGTAGTCATAAAGAAAGCTGGGTACGCATGCCGATTTGATTGAAGAAACCCTTCGGAGGAGGTTCAATTTAATTTTAACGCTTCTCTAACTATGTGTCAATCCAAGGAACACAAAAAAGTATGCAGTTGAGAACTAAATCGCTCCTTTGATGCGAGAAACGTTAAGAATGCGCTGCCATCAAGTCAAAATGACAAGCCTTGTGAGGCTGAAAAGGAGCATTTCCCTTAAACATCTACATTTCAAAGCTGTATATAATTCAAATAACCTGGATAACAGTGCCTGCAAATCCAACGTAACGTATAAGTTTTAAAACCTTTACACAAAGGCTGCCAGATAATGTACTACATACAAAGATCAGACTTGAAGGTGTGGAGATGCAGATTTGGGAGAAATGGAGAAAGTCTTAGAAGATAGTCACTTATAAGAGATTCTGCACTCTATTATACCACGGGCTTGTACATTCTTACAATATTAAATGTTGAAAATAATGACAAAAACAAACAACTGTTTGTTTGTTCTTCCTAAAGCATGCTATTACAACACGATCTGTTTTCCTTCCCTAATGACAAGATCTGCAAGTAATGTACTTATGAATTTCATGAAGCAGTTCTCTTAATAACATTACTCCTCTTGGCTAAACAATCCTCTCTTCCCCCTCCCTGCAAAATAGCACAGTTTCAATCACCGGAGGTTTACGTTTTAAGCATTCCAGTTAAGAGATCCCCAGTGCGGAAATACACTGGGATTACATAAGGGATACGAAAGTACTGCATTACAGTAAGCTGAAGATAAAATTATTTTCCCCCAAGCAAGTTTAAATCAGAGGTGCAATACAAAAGAATGACAGTGTTAGCAATAGTGCATTAACATTTAATGACTACAAGCTAGGTGTTAGTATTCTGAATTTACCTTTACGTTCAAATTTCTGTCCAGGCATATCAACTTCTTAATGTCTGCCTAATGTTCTTGCATATTTAGACTGCAAACTCTTTGATGAATGACTAGCCTTACATTCCACACTTGCACTGCAACTGGTATCACAAAGCTTTAGTCCACCCCACTCTTCATAACTATTAAAACGGACCAAAGGGGGGTTGGGGAAACAGTGTGCGCAGTTCATGACATAAGTGTTCTGACAGAATGGAATTCATATTTTGACTCAAAGCCACAATTTAATTTCTAGTCTTGCAAATGTAATCAATACTCATACTTCTTACTGCTGCAGTTGCTGGTCACCTGACCTCGTGTGTCATATCCAACAACAAAGCCTCTCTGCTTAAAGTCTGAAAAACACCTCTCAAGATACTTGTAGATGCCCTGGGGAAAAAGAAAAAAAAGAAAAAGAAGGGAACAGTGAGCTCTATTATAGTACATACAAATATTAAAAAAACCATCTTTCACATAGAACATGCAACGTCAATGGTTAAAATATAGATCAGCAAAAACCTCAGTGATATTCACAGAACATTTCTTTTTTTCCAAAGCGTTCACAGAAAGAAAGAGAGCAAACAGAGAAACAGCTAAGGGAAATAATACAAAAATTATAAGTACTAAATAGCCTAAAAAGAAAGCTAGAACCCACAAAATCCTCAAGCAGTAACCGTCTGTTTTCATCCTGTGAGGCACTTCTAGGTATTCAAACCATTTTCTTAAAGAATCAATTGATAAAAATCTATGTTAATTGCTCACGCCATATGAGGCTAGTACTAGTCAGGGCTAATCTTTATGCTCGTGTTCACAGTACAAGTCAGACATCTTTTCTGCACGGCTTCCAACTGTTATTTCTAAATTTGCATTAAAAGGATGTTAAATCTTTACCCATTTTTAAAAGGAAGTTTATTACTAGTGATGTGTTCCACATGAGTTAAGTCCTCAATTTCCACACTAAGCAGGTAACAGTAAGCTGTCTGCTGTCCTGAACATCAAGCTAGAACCTTTCCAAAGGCAAGGCATCACAGAAGAGCTGAGCATGGGCAGTAGCTGAAGGAAGTAAATCTCTACAACATACACTGGGGTGAATAGAAATACGCACTGACACATACAAGAGAGTGCAATAAGCACCCTCTTAGCCATCTGTCACTCCTTTTGAGAGCAGGAGGAGATGGGTGCTCTTCAAAACAGTTCATTACACGGTGCTCCAGCTTCACCTTCCACGTGGCCTTCCTAGTTAGAATCTACCCGGACATCCACCACAGAAACAAAAGAGTGTGGATCAGCATTTTTAAAATCAAAGGATTAAACCACTATTGTTGGCAGAAATTTCTAGAAGTTAGAGTCCATTATAAACTTCACCTATACAAACACATCACTACGAATACATCTTAACCAAGTCTATCCTAAAAACGCTATTGCTTGTGAGGGTGCAAGCTTACTCTTGCCAAGAGTAAGAGAGGCAAAGTTCGTACTAGGACTAAACAGATTTTCCTCCCTCTACTAAGTGCAATTCTTTGTGATGCCATTGTACGGCTCTGACTTGAGAGCATCAATAAGCAATCTCTCAACCAGAAGGCTAATCTGACTTCTGCTGTAAAATTTAGCTGCGCTGATCTTTTTTAAAATGTTGCAACCTCTTTGCCCTTTCCACCAAAGAACGTGCATCAAGCATGAACAAATGGATACTGGTATCTCTTTGGAAAACCATTTCAGCCTCCGATGTAGTGTTTCTACAGTGGGATTCACAGAGAGGAAACAACTTAAACAACATGAAATTTGGAAGCTCTGTCATGGTATAATCACTACCTGAAGGTACCTCACATTGAGCTGAAATGTGCTGACATGCAAACACGTCCACGCAGCCCTAGTAACTTTTCAAGAACTTTTGTTCACAGTAGTAAAGAGATATGGGACAGGGGAATGGGAAAAGTTTGACTTGAACAAATCGAATAACATTTAAAGGGCAGAACAGTAGATTTATTATCAAAGATGCTTATTTATCTAGCAATATCTGAAGGTCAGAGCACATCTCAGAGTTTCGTCTGAATTAGTTTTTCAAACATCAGGAAACTGCATGATAAAGACAAGATTTGTGGAAGAAGCAGCATTATATTAGACAGACTGGCACTAGTTAGAGAAAACAAGCCGCAGCATTTAATTTTTTTCAGAAGCAATAGGAAGCAAGGTAAGTTCAGGCAGAACAACATACTCTTGTCCACATAAGAAAGGCAAGATGTTACAAACCATAAAACGCTCTCCTTACAAAGCTAAAACTGTTATGTACTCCTATTTCACATCGACCTCCCAAGAGCTTTGCCTCAACATCAGAGGCATCCCTTGAATGTTCGGGCAACCCTGGTATCTCTAGGATCCTGCACAAATTTCTTCTTCACCCCTTACTTCCAAAAAGCACACATCACAGATTTTTTTTTTTTGGGGGGGGGGGGGAAGAGAGGAGGGTTTGGAGGGTACAGTGGCCTCTAATGCCAGCATCCTTCCATGTCTCCCAGCTTTCTACTTCCTCATTCCTCAAACACAGAGAAGCTCACTTATTTTTGCTGCAAAGTAAGGGTCAGTATTGATCTTTTTCACAGATTAGATCTTTTGTGATTTCTCCCCTGCACCTCCTCATCCCAGCTATTTCAGCCTAAGCATTTTTGGTACCTGCTGGGTGCCACTACAATCTAAATAACACTCTCCTCAAGGGCAAGACAACTTCACTGGTCTGCATTCATCCCTCATGTTACTGGTCACATATACCTTTTGCTCTTCCTTCAGCAGCAGGATGACATGGACTCTCCTGCAGCGTTATCTTAGATACTTGCAGCTTTTTGAGTCTCAGCCCCATGACAAGTTTAATAGTGCACCAAGAATTCTAATAGGGATGGCAAAGGTTTTAGGGCTCTCAGAGCTTGGACTTCCCTTTGATAACACCTATCCTGGCACTGCAGACTACAAATAAAAGCCCACTACTTTGTTAACCAATAGTAACAGCTCTCCTTAGTCAACACAACTGTAACTACCATACGGTCTCCCTGAAAACTCAACCCTCTACTCAAGCTCACACCTATTCATCTCCCATTCTCAAAGGGCGTTCAGTACCTCCAACACTCCCTCTCAGGATAAGTCCTTTCTTTTAAAAAAGTTTCCCAATTTAAAGAGTTTCTATTTTCTCTTTTTGGGAATCAGTTTTTGATAGCGTCCCCACCTAATTTCTCCTGAGATATGTGAATAGCTTCATGTTCAGCTATTGCTTCCAAAGTGAAGGTATACAGGTCAACATCTTGTCATTACATACTTGGTGATAATTAGTAACTTAATAGCAAACATCAGCATACAAATGCTAACTGTCTCAGTGGATCTAAAAAAATCACTTCGGAGTATCACAAATATTTATACTGCTGCACAGCTCAGGTGATATTTTTAAGCAAAGTTCAGGGTATGCTTAGAACAGATGGATCTAGTCTACGTCTACTCCCGTGTATTAAATAATCATCTTGTTTGTCCAACCTCTGTGATTAATTAAAAAAAAAAAAGAGGGGAAAATGGTGGTATCAAGGACACAACAGAAAGATTTTTGGTGGATGATCAAAGAGATATTAACAGCTTTATGAAGTCTTGTATTTAAATCTTTCAGTTATTGATGTTAAGGTTTGCTTACATAGCAACAAGAAATTTAGAGCAATGATGCAAAGCTAACTGTTTTTGTCACTGTAGAGGTCAGTGATGGATTACTTATCTATTAATAAAAGCAACCAGTTCAACAGGACAGAAGCAATATTTGAGCAGAAAAATCTAGGCTTTATGCACAAGTTAAGTATCCAAGATCATCAGAAGAGTCAAAAGTAACTTCTGGATATTTTACATCTTTCTGGATTTGACTTTGCATGATATCAGTTCAATCATGCAAGTGAAAAACACAGCATGCATGGAAACATGCATCTTAAGCTTTATTTCAATTGAATCACATATTTTGATTACACTAAAGTCTATTTTGAACAACCATTTATTCCTGAAGCAGGTAAGCACTGATTTAGAGAGACAAGGTTATCCATTTCCAGATAAGTTTCAGCATAACTCTTCTAATGTCATTAGACTCTGAAAGAAGAAGACTAGAGATACGCAAGCAAACAGATTAAATCTGATGCAATTTACTTCAGAAACAAGTTTTAATCTTATTCCCAGAGACTGCTTTATCTAACTTGATTGGCTGCTTTGATAATCAACTAAAAATAGAACCTCTCCAGAGCTGGCAAATAAGTTCCAGCAAGTTTGCTACCTTCAGTAACCTTTAAGGCCCATGAAACTGAACTCGCTGAGATTCCCTGCTGACCAAAATGAAACTTTTCACTTTCTGCCAAGAACGCCTATCAGCCAGCTGATCCAAGCTCAGTCACGCTTTCAAGAGACTCAAAACACAAAGGCAGCATGCAATTTTCAGGCGCTTGGAGCATGAACAGCTCCAAATTCAACAGACTGCACAGGCCAAAAAGTGAAGTCACTATTATTAACTTCTGCATTATAAAGATTTTTACTTTGCTCCTAAGGAAAGGGGAATTGTTCAAAGCAACATCAATAGTCGCAACAAATCCATCACTGGCAAAAAGCCACTAGTTTTTAACTAATTTTTTGCTTAACCTCTTCAGCTCATTCCCTCAAAATCCACTAGATCAGAGAAGACCTCTTGTACCACAACATTCATCTGTGCTAATATGGTACAGTACTTACAGCAGATGAGTTTAGCATGCAAGAGGTCAGTGAGGCCTGAACTGAAGGAAATATCATTCTAGATATGTTTAATTTAGAGGGTAGAAACCTAAAGCAAGCTTTTATTACGCCTGGGACTAAACTGAAAAGAAAGAGAGACTGGTAAAATGCAAGTTCCATTTTTAAAGCCAGTCAATGAGTTCCAATACGCTATTTCTCTTTCTTTAAAAGCCCGTATAAACAAGAGCTATCGGAATTTCATTTTACCACGAAAGTTGGGATTCCACTTTGACATACTAGTAATGCCTAAGTTGTACAACAGCTTTAATAGAGTCCTAGCTGTTCCAAATTTTAAGCATGCCACTTTACTTTAAGCCAACAGAAAATAAGTTTCACTTATATCTACTTAAGGACTTGTACGAGAGTATTAGCCTGTAAAGAGAAGATTATTTGAAAATGTTTAAGTATATAGTATTACGATGAGAGATTTTAATAAACCTCTGTAAATCATGTAATAAAACATACCTTATCTTATGGTTGAAGTTCCATTCATAAAAAAGTAAGCTGACAGGGCAGATAAGATTTAATAGGTTTATCATAACGAAAACTTGCACTTGCTATTGATATTCCAAGTACATTAAATGGTTACAAACATATCACGGGTCATTGCATTTTCAGTACAACGGTGGGGACAGATAAGGTGCTGAAGTATGTTTAATACTCACAATCCAAATCCATTTGTATTTTGTATGATCATAAGGAAAGAAACCACGGAACATCCATTTTCTAACTCATGCTATTTGTTTTCAAATCTAACTCTTCCTTTTCTTCCCTCCCCTTCTTTCACTTGCATGGAAGAGAGCTATATTTCGCAGATTAGAAATCCAACTACTTATTGCTTAATATTTACTACAATGGAGCAAGTGCAAGCAGGACTATCAAAGTTCAGAAGGATAATTTAACATGACTACCACCCTGGATAAATCAACGTTAAAGCTCAGACTCTTCTTTAACATACTCAAATCCTGGACAACATCAGATCATTGTGAAACGTACTCTGAATTCATTCATTATGAAGTTTAGTTGCAAAGATTAAATATTTTATCTGCTTACTTGGGGGAATAAATGTGATAAAGGAATGCATCAGCTGAAAAAGACACTGGTACAATAAGCTAAGCAAAAGCAAGAAAAAAAGCCATTATGAGACCCCAAAATAGAAAAGGAGCATGGAGCACTTTTGATCAATAACCAAATCACCATTAACTCTTCCTTCCAAAGGTGTTTATTGAAAAGGTAGGAAAGAAAGCTGATAACAGGATACCGAGTTCTTTGAGAAAGAATATATAAAGCTACCCTGAACAAAACAGTGCTGCAAAGAGCAGCAGAAGTGATTAAGCCTTATATAATCAAAAACTTGATTTACTTGGATAATCAACGTACATACAACTCACTAACATTGCTTGAGAGATACGCAGGGAGATGGGTAAAAGTCAGGTCATATTCCATCCCTCTTCTGCCATACTACACCAAAAATCAACACAGAGAAGACAGAAGGGTGCAAGACATTTGAAGAAACAAGTTCAGAAAGTTGTATTTCTGGTTGTTAATCAACTTAAACAGCAAGTCAAAGCAAACTAAAAACTGGTTCAAGCAAAGGATGTTTCAAAAGAAGGTGTTTCTGCCACCAGTCTTCCCTACCACAGCACTGACATCAATCATTACCCCATGGCAGCGTCTATCCAGCTCATCTCCATGTACCAACTTCTGTGCCCTTCTGAATGTATTCCTAGCACTACCACCACCACATTGGACCCCGATCTCTAGCAGAGGAACAGGAAGTTAGGACTAAGGCCTCCATGGTCAAAACTTTACCCCACACGCAGAGCTAGCTCACAAGACCCTTTCCAATTTATTCCTAAAATAAAACAGCCTGGGTTACCAGACCAGCTAACCAGTAGTTATTGCCCTGAACCAGTTATAAAACTAGCAACTTCAGGCACAGCTGAATACAAATAAAAAAAAAAAAAATCAGTGTGCTACACCTACCCCCTACTCAACACTGCAACAACGCAACAATCCCTGAACCCAGTACTATCAACTACTGATACTGGAAGCCTAACCCCCAAGCTAACCATTAGACAATACAGATGATCTTCATAGTCAGTCTACGTTTTCTTTTTCATCTTACCTTCTGTTCATTTTCCTAGTAAAACCTGCTAGTTACCCAGGGCAAGTTTTTTGCATAGTTGTTCACAACATGGGCTAAAAATGAAAGAAAAGGTTTATTTGGTTGGAAGGTGGTCTTTTGTTTGTTTGTTTGTTGCCAAATACTAAAGGCTCTCAGGACAGCCAACGATTTCCAACTTCAGAGCAGTAAAATAGACTTTAACTACTGGCCAAACCCCAGGTGAAGGGATTATATTCCACCTGCTAGAATGGCCAGTTAAACCTGCTCAAGCTACTTCATTTTCTTTCAGTTCTAAAACATTTCATACTATCACCTGATATTGTTAGTGGCTGCTGTGTTTCACTTCTGAGCTTGTATTTCAGGGGGACGTTATATGAGCCAAATAGTTACTGTGAAATCATTCAGTTCTCTCATATTCTGCTATCAAACTTACCTGTGTTGACTGGATCACTGTAAGATCATTAATGTAGCAAAAGCCTGCTCCCATAGCAGAGCGAAGCCCAGCAGTCCCAAAGGTCAACCGGCAGCAGAGACGATCCCGTAATTCCTTATGCTTTCCATCCTGTAGCAAGCTTTCAATCTGTTCTTTTGTTTTGGGGTTCTGCAAAAAAACATTAAAGGTCTTCATTCAGTTCCTGACATCATTACAGCAGCTTCCCAATTCAAACAGTTTTGAGTGCTGCAGTGCAACAAGTTCTTCCTGTTCTATAAAATTTCAGTCTACACAAACTAACCTACACTGTAACTGCTATTTGTATGGTACTTTCTCTTCTTTATCATCCTTACTTATAAAAGATTCAAGAGCTGTTGCAGCCATTCATATCCTGATAAGTCCACCTAGTCATTAACACGCTTTTCAGCGACGTGAGGCCTGTTAGCAAGGGACACAGTGACTTTAGAACAGGTTTTCAAAGGCAGGTAGCACAAGTTAATTCTCAACCTCTGCTGTTGAAGATAGACAAAAAACCCTAACTTCAAAGCAGTATTTCTTTCCTCCCCACCCACACAGGAAAGCTCTGCAAACAAGCATAGTGAAATAAAGCTAATATTGTAAAGCCATAAAGAAAAGCTGTCCTTTCAAGTTACATTAATCTTTACCAAGGTGGGTATAAGACAGTCAAAGCCCACGTTTACCACAGACTGTCAAACAAAAACACGTATTTTCCCTGGACAGAAAATCCCAGCCATTTTTGACACTTTCACTGCTTAACATATACACTGGCTATGAACAGGTTAAAAAGAAAGTTTAAAAGTGCTACTCCTTCTGCAGGTAAGAGGAAAATACCATATACACCATTATATCATTTTAATACCCATTTTTACTACTGCCCAACATTGCTCTTTACATTCAAGCAGGATGCTAAGCTAAGCTACTGTTGTTATGGGACCCATTGCCAATATTCCTAATTTGTCTTCTCAAAACGTTATACCGTGGGACTCAGTTCATTATTAGTATATGCCCTCAAAACATTTAAGATTTACCAAACAAACTATGAAGGATGCATTCAGTGACTTGTATTGATAGAATACCAGTTTCTGAAAGATGCTGCTATCTTATCTATACCATTACTCTAATGGTCAGATTTTTAACTGTATTTAGGTGGGTCTCAGGAATTTCATCAGTAAAACCAGAGAATTAAAAACAAACTTCCACAATTCCTTAAAAGTTCTGAAAGAATATAGTTAATGCACAGTACAGGATACAACCATTAAGCAAAGAGAATTCCCCAGAGAAGTCACTGAATTTACTTCTAAAAGCTAGCATCTTTCTTAAGGAAAAAAAAATTCTATCCCCAAAAGCAGTACTCATGCCACTAAAACATAACATTTTGTTGGTCTTAATGAACGTAAAGACAGCAGTTGCTTTATGATTTGCCCCTAAAACCAACAAAATATACACCCATTAACCTACCCTAAAGGAAACATCTAAAAATAGAATACGAGGTAAATCAGGTAATTTGATGCCTGGAACTATATAAACACACTTATGGTTCATAGAGAAGGGCCAGAGATATTTTCCCTTTCTGGTCTCATTGTCCTCTGGCAGCTACACCATTTCACCCATACTTGCATAGCTCTTTCATATTGAAAGCTCTCTACAGTTACCTACTTATGTCTGTACATATTGCAATGTACTGGGCATATCACAGCGAGGACTTGTCATTGGCTGCTCTGCGGTTACCTGAAAGAGGCCATACCAGATCAGCATCCCATCTGACAACAACTGTCAGCGGCTGCCTAGAAGAAGGCATAAGGACCGTGCAATTATAGCAAGAAGTTGAGAAAATATTCAAGGAGGGTATCCATATTTCCTATGAAGGAAGTTCCTGATCAGCACAGCAGCACTTCCTTATACAAGAAACAAAACAGAAAACAAAAAAATGAACACCACACACGTCTGTACAAAATATTTTTAAAATTGTCATTCCACACCTCTATTATTTAAAACCCATGACTAAAATGAATGGGCACCTGACATGGAGAAAATTTCACCAAATGCAATAGAAGAAAACAGTTCCTCCCTTCCAACCTGAAACCCACTCAATTTTGAACAGACATTCAGTCACTTCATTTATGAAAGCAGAATATCAGCTTTTGCCATTTCCATGTGGAGAGAATACACTTAGTACCATTCACAGTTCAGCTGAGGCAGCAATCAGGCATATCTCTGAAAGACTTCATTCCAGTATTCACCTTAGGGCCCACCTCATAGGAAATGTGACGATTCTATAATCTCCCTCACATACATCCTGACTCTTCAATAAAAGAATGAGTAGATTAATAGTATCACTTGTTTTTCATAAGCAACGCTTACAAGGCAATCATATGCAACGTTATGGAGCAAGCTGGATATAAGAACCAACAAGACACTGATTATTGAAATTGTCCTCCGTTCTTTCAGTAGTTTCATAAACTTGCATTATTGTCAAAGCCATGAACATCCAAGTGTACAAGAACGCACATATGCATTCCTATTTGTTCCTCGTAGTTGTTCTATATCTTCAACTCATATTTAGCTAGAAAAGCACAGGGCAAAACAGGGCAAATTAAGACTAATCATCTATGATAATGAGAAATAGATAGTCACAGTAATACCAACCATATTACCCTGGACACACTTAGGGAGAAGAAAGAAAAATGATATAAGAATATGGATGTCTGTCCTTTTACGACATGTACTAACAGGAAGTGATACACCCATAGGAAGCTGTTTTGAAAGAAGTGGATGAATAAGTACAATACCCTATAACATACATATTTTGAAGGATCTGTAAATTCATTTGGTCATCAAGAAACTCGGTTCCATCTACCTACATTCAGTTTGGACAAGACAGAATTTACAGCTCCTATAAATACACTGCAACCAAGGTCAGGCTTGCCAATAACACAGACCCATCAAGAATTCAATCAATACACAGCTGTAAAGAGCAATGAATCCTGATGACAGCTATAGAACAGTATAGCTCAGGCTGCACAAGAGGTTCCCTCAAAGGGTGTTGCTTAAAGTGGGCTCCTAAACTAGAGTTAAAAAAGGCAGGTGGAGTCTGAAAGGCAAGAGTGAAATACCCCTGACATTTATAATATAGAGGTCAGCCAGCTTCAGATCCCACACCGCCTGACACAAGGTAGCCTCTGCAGCACAGGGAAAAGTGTCCTGCAAGGTGAAAGGTTCTTTAGGAGGGTTTGAAAAGTGCAGGGGAAAAAGGTGATAGGAGCTAGATAATCTTTTCATTAGGGGAAAAAAAATACAAATAAAACTAGTTCAAAAATCTGAAAGTATTTTCATTGCTTGACAATAGATCTTAAATACTAGAAAACGTGGCATGTAAATTTAAAATAGATTTTAATGTCTGTGCCTTAAAATAAAAAGTCAAGTCATTATTATTCAGACTCTTGGATGGCTCTGCAACCAAAGCTTGACATTTCCCATAAGACAGCTAAAAAAGCCTCAAAATAAAACAAAAACAATAGGGTGCTACAAATACTAAATTTAGAAAGCAAAAGTCTCTCTCTTCAGGCTGTTCATTGGAAGTCAATCAGAAAACAAATAACTAAACTGAAGAAGTTTCTGTTTAAGGTAAGAGTAAAAAAAACCCCAAAATACCATTTCCACACTATCACAATTGGATAAATAATTTTGCTTTAAAATATGATTATTAAATCACACAGCTTCTTTAATAGCTTTTTTAGGACAGGCAGCATTGCTTGCCTGCAAGAATGTAATAATATGTAGTATATTACACTGTTCATAGTCTTCAGTTTTTGCAAGACTGAGGCAAGCCTTTACTGAAGCTAGAACTCAGGCATTTATTTTACTAGTAAAATAACATGCAATTTTTTTATTGGAGTTACCTAATTTATTTTCTAGGAAACAAAAACAAGTCACCCAAAATAGTGTCCAAATAGTATTCTCATTTGCTCAGGTCACATTCATTTACCTAAAAATTTCCTATAATAAGAAAAGTAGGAAACCAAGGGGAAAAAAAAAAGTTACAAGCTACTAAAGAAGAAAATTCCAAATCTTTTAACAGATGATGTGAAACTCATGGGGCAAGAGGAAGAAGGGATTTTACATAAGTTCACACAAATAAATTCAGATAGAGTGATGATCTGTTTCATGCTGTGGGCTATACATTCAATAGCATTAGAAATCTGACCTCAAGACAACTGTTATCACAACTGTTTGTGACATGATCCTTATTATTTCTCATTGTTTAAGAAAATATTCCTTTAAATTTCTCAGAATTTTTCTCTGAGTTAGAGCCTCAGTGCCTGTGTTCAGTTTATCTTCTTGCACATATAGCTTATATAGAAAAAAAGTTTACCATACTAAATTGAGTATTTTGCACTGGAGTAAAGGAGGGCTAAAACATAAATATAGCTGTGACTGCTGAAATCTAATTCTACTGCAAACTATCAAAAATCAGTTTTCTGTTGTTTTGCTTTAAAGTTATGAAATAAAATAATGCATTGAAAGTTTTACAGTAGCTCTTAAGATTTATTTTTCAAAGCTGAACAGTTTTAAGGTTAAAACACACAATAAAGTTAGTATTGGAGACTGGGAATATGAAGAAGAAAGCCTAGTATGCCTTTATACAAAGTACATTTTCTGTAAGTCATTAGTATTGCTGCACAGTTACTTTCCATCAACACTGAATTTTCTGCCATGTGAAGCTAGAGACACTAAAGGGTATAAAGGATTAGTCAAGCTCTGCAGCGTTCCACTGCCTTTCTAAGTTCCGAGGAAATATTATCGATCCAAACTGTGGATACAATTAGATGCTAAGATAAGATGCTCACCCACAGCTTTAGGAAGTTAATTAAATTATACAAAGAGAACTAACTATAAAGGATCACTACTTAGAAGAGAATTTCTCAAGCTGCTAAAGCCAAGAAAGGTAGCAGTTAGTTCCAAACTCAATTAGTTTAAAAACACAAGCTTAGAAAAACTGAAGTGCCCCCTCTTAACAGTTGCCTGGATTAGTATGTCAACAAACTCCATTAACCGCAACACAGAAGCCTAGTGTAAGCAAAACAGAAGTTCCTTAGAAATTATCAAGTAAAGCGTTTGCACTTTCTTTTTAATGTCCTTAAAAAAAA